CCGTTTGACGGCGATAAATCCAAGCCTACCAATCTTGGACTTGTGATAAATTCAGGCCCACTAATCTTGGGCTATTGGGCCTAAATAATTTAGTGGGCTTAAATTAGCTCCTCTTACATTTGTTATAATTGAAAGGGAATAAATTAAAATAAAATTTTAATAAAAATATAAAAATATTAAACATATTTCCCTCCCCCCAAAAAAATAAATAAATAAGACAGGCGTATCCGAAAAATGTCACTGCCTAACATGTGTGCAACACGGATATAGAATCACATGTTGATTCTGACGTAAGGCTCTAACAGTTCTTGGTTTCATCAAAAAGATCTCCTTCAACATTTGGATTGCTCCACACTTTTTTCTTAAAATTGCGTTTAGTTAGAAAATTTAAAAAGAAAAAAAAATATATAGGTGAAATATATATATATATAATATTTATATTTTACTTAATTTTATACATTTTTTATTTTTTTCTTTCCAAATCTTTTAACCAAACACAGTATAAAACATATGAATTGAGAGGAAATAAATTGAAACCTCAGAATAGATAACCAACATATTTGAGGGAAAATTAAGATGACCCAAGTTGTTCCATCAAATTTATTTGATTTTGTCATTTTCAATTAAACCAAGTTGATTATTGGCTGTGCTACAACCCTTGTATGATCAAAAAATGTGAAAAAACCTAAGATTTGTAATCAAATTCATCACTGTAGTTCCATTTTTGTATACCTTTTAGCTGTATTTAGATTATAAATTTAAATAGGGATTGAGAAAAAGAGAAATGATGATAAAATTAGTTTATATTTTATTCACATTATCTCATCTTTTTCTTTTGTAAATTACTCTCTAAATTTATGATTCAAAAACAAACTTTATGTATTTGTGCATGCTACAAGATAATTAGTGAAAAAATGGATAAGTATACAACCTTTATGCATGTGTGTTCATATATAAGTGCGAAATCTGGGAATTCCAGATTGCACCTCCAAGCTCAAACTCAAGTTCAAAAGCATCAAAACTCGACCTCTTGGGCTGAATTTCCAGAAAACATTTATAAACGTATAGAATAACATGTTTTAAAGCCCAATTTGAGAAATCAAAGCCCAAGGGTGTTTAATTCAAACCCAATTTCAAACCAATTTCAAATCATTTTCCAAGAACAATCTTCAAACATGACATGCATGATCTTAAATCATTTTCAAAGCTTTAATGCTGTTTCAAGAGAGCTCAAGCCTTCAAAAACAAGATGAACTCATGGAGTATGACCAAAAGATGGACATGCATGTGAGGTATGATGAACCACAACCTCAAAACTTCAATATATGTACATGCATGCAACACTTAAGCTTCAATTCACCATTAATGACCCAAATCATGACTTAGCTCTACAATCTAACATGGACCATGCAACAATCAACTCAAAACATGGACAAGAAGACAATGGAGCTACCTTTAGTCTTGTAGTTCAAGAAGGGAGCTCAAATATGCAAATACACTTCAATTCCAAGCAAGATCAAGCAAATCTCTCAAGAACAACTCAACTCTCTCTCACTCTCTAGCTTGGGTCGGTTGAGGCAAGAAGAGGAGAAGAAATGTTTAGTTTGATCACATACGTGGAGTGTAAAAGGCTCAAGTGTGTGTATATGAGATAGTGGCAAAATGGTAAATATGGCAAACTCTTTAATTGGCTTATTTTAATCTAATTTAATCATACCCAATCAATTTTCAGATAATTATACTATAAAATCACCTTAATTCTAAGGATCATAGAACACTAATCGGTTTCGGATTCGGCCGTCGGTAAGGCCTTCAATTAGCAGTTTAAACATATAAACATGAACAGATAATCAGACAATTAAACAGATAGAATGCAATTAACTAACATATACTCAGTCAATTCAGTTTCAATTTCAGTCAGTTATCAGTTCCATTTCGCAGTAATCAATGATTAACGGTAATCATTCAGTCATTAATCAGTAAACAGTATGAGGGTTGTTACAACTTGGAACGTCCCTAAGAAATTTTACGACTAAGACGCAGAGCAGAGTCTGCATCTTCATGGATCTTTTCAAACATTTGATGATGATGATCGTTTGAATTATCCGAAGATTTTTAAGTTGGAGGTTTGTGATGCCTCAACATTTTACACTTTCGTTTCGATCTATTCTCTTCCTTGAACACTTCAGTTTGCAACAACTTTGTGTGTGTGTGTGTGTGTGTGTGTGTAACTCCAACCCTTAAAATGCTTGATTGCTCAATTTCAGGATTCAGAACAGAGCATATGAAATCGACTAAAGAGATGGGATAGGAGATCTGGTTTGTAGGTAAGAACTGAGATATTTTCAGTTCCAAAACTGAAAATGTTCTCAATTTAAATTTGAGAATGAGTTCAGTTTGCAAAAATATCCAATAAAACTGAGAATTTTTTTAGTTTTTTTAGTGTTAAAACTGAGAATATTATCATTTTTTTCAGTTTTAAATTAATAATATTCTCAATTTTAAAATTAGAAAAAATTGAGAAATTTCTCAATTTTACACGACTATTGTTTATGAAAATTTCTTAGTTTTTGCACAACCATTGAAAATGGCACGATGAGAATGAAATACCTTTTTCGGGGAATAAGTGGTCTTGGAGGTGTAGTATAATGTGATCGAGTCTCCACTCATTTAAAGGACAAACCCAGTTGAACCTAGAATCATCATTTTTTCCCAAGCTCTCGTAGTCATCAATGGCGGATGTGAGGGGATTGGGTCTGAAATCACATCATCCATGATGAGGATGAACTTAGGATGTTGTATATTTGGGGGGTACAAAGAGAGAGCTTCGAGAACTAGTGATCGAATATGGAAATCAAGAAGACGAGCTTTGATTTGGCATGGTGGAGAAGAACGATGAGGCAGGTGTTGATGGTGTTAAAATAGATCAGGAAAGAACCAAAGTCAAAAAGCTCGGGCTCTATTTTTTATATGTGAAAGAGGGAGTCTGGAAAAAAAAAAATAGAAAACAAATGAGATAGAACGGCATGTTTGGTTGTTGTTATTGGGGAATGGCTTTAAAAGTAAGAGAAAGAACGAAGACATCAACTTTTCACACCATGCATGTAGTAAGACATCTGGCAGTGATGGAGGTCTTAGAAGGGTAAATTAAAGATAAATTAGTTTATTAAAAATTAATGAAACTTAAAGGAGTAAATAATCTTGTCTAGGACTTAATGGATTATAAATTCACAATATGAGACTTGTATGTAAATGTCCCTATGTAGTTTTAATCATTTAAGTTGGAATCGAATAAAAAAAAAGAAAAAAAAAGAATATCGACTGACGAGGTCGAGAGGCCTTCATGGTTTTAGTTTGATTTTATGTTTTTGGTTTTAAATGAAAAAACTTGGATCTACTGTTCAAATAAATAAATTTAATACATATAATAAATTATCATTTAGTGTCACTTTAGTCTTTTAATTAAAAATTATACTTTGTCATCTTAATTATTAATGTGAAACTTCATAAATAAACAAAAAATTAACATGTATATTACATATGACAACTTAAATATTGTAACATCTTTAAAATTATCTCATTAATTATCTCTTTCGTTTTTTCAACTTGAAATGTATTTTGTGTGAAGGGTAAATTTAGAATAATGGTAGAGATTTTAAATATTTTATTATTTTTTTTATCAAATGTGAGTGTGATATCCATATGGTGTGGGTCTCACACTTATGTAAAATATTTGATAAAAAAATTAATAAATTTTTTAAAATTTCTAACATTTGTTTAAAATTTATTCACACACTTTTACCGTGTGTGAACATTACACTTCATCTTGATTGGTTGTTCAATAGGGAACCATCAACTTTACACTTCCTCTTCATGTTGGGTGAATAAATTTATTACATTATTTTAGGTATACGTTTAACATCAATAAAATTATAAAAAATTTAAGGAAAATTACCATTCAAGTTTCATAAACTACTTATTTTACATATTAAAAAAATAATAATTATAATTATTCATATTTATAAAATTTACTACTTATTTTTTATAATTATTTTTCAAACTTTGACCGAATTTTTTTTTCCTAAAATTTATATGAAATCCTTATAACTAAACTAACTCCAGATTTCAGTAATCTTCGACAACGACGAGCTAAGGCCAGTTACTTAGCCTCTGTTTGGGATTGGCTTTTTGGGGCTTTTTTGGCTAAAATAGCCACAAAAAACAAAATAGGCTATTTTAGCCACAAAAAACAAAACATCAAATCCAACCCATAATCATTACAATCCTCTCTCACAAAAAAAGCCAAAAAAGCCAAAAAGCCAAAAAGCCCTTCCCAAACCAGGCTAAAATAACCCAGGCTAAAATAGCCAAAAAGCCAAAAAGCCAAAAAACCAACCCACTTCCCAAACGGAGGCTACTCAAAATGTAATTATTAGCTTACCCAAAATAAATAGAAAACAAAATAATAAATAAATTATAAACCTGCCTCTCGTTACTCTTACCGATTCTCAGAGAGACTTTTGACTGATTCAATGCCCCCATCACTTTCATTCTCTCAAACCTTGATTCGATCCATGTCTTCTTCCTGCTCCGAAACCCTAGTCTTGTTCAATCTCTCTTCGATCTCCAACCTCTGATTTTGAGGAATTTTCTTCAATACTCCCAGCATCATCAATGGCGTCACCGGAGGTGGAAGATGCGAAGAGGTGGGAAGAAGTTCTGAGGAAGATGTTACCTGCCGGAGCTCCATTGCCTAACGAAGAACAGCTCGATTACTCCATCGCGATTGAGTACGACGGCCCTCCTGTGCCCTACCAGGTCCCCAAGGTCGATCCACTGGACGTCGATTCCATCTCCATTCGCACCTCTTCAATCGTTTCCGTTTCCGAATGCGTACCAGTTGTCCCTGTTGCTGTCCCGATCGCGAAGCTTTCGAGGTTCAACAAAGGCGGAAGAAGCACGAGTCCAATGGAGGTGAATCGGAGATCGTCGTCGCTTTCGCGGAGTCAACAGGAGTTGCAGAATGAGGATTTGGAGGAATTGGCTGCAAGAGATGATGAAAAGGAGGAGTTTTATTCGGCTAATCCATCGCTGGCTCGAGATCCGAATTCGGTTTATGCTTCGAGTGTTGCTAGTTCGATTCGCAGACCTGTGGTTGAAGCAAGACGAGCTGTAGTGACTTTCGATACGGACAAGGATGAAGAGGATGAGTTATCTTCAGAGAGGTCGAGCGTCACTGATATTGCAGCGTCCCCTGTTGTGGCTCGGAGTAGAGAGAAGCGGTTGCTGAGGAAGAGTGGGGTTTGCAGTAGGTGTGGGAGACGTAACCGGTTAAGGGAGAGAGAGGCTTGTATTGTGTGTGACGAAAGGTATTGTAGCAATTGTGTGCTCAAGGCCATGGGGTCGATGCCTGAAGGGAGGAAGTGCGTGAGCTGTATTGGGCAACCCATTGATGAGTCGAAGCGGCCAAGTTTGGGGAAATGTTCGAGGATGTTGGCGAGGGTCTGCAGTCCTTTGGAGATCAGGCAGATTATGAAAGCCGAGAGGGAGTGCTCGGCGAATCAGCTTCGACCCGAGCAGCTTGTTGTGAATGGAAGACAGTTACGGCAAGAAGAATTGGCGGAGGTTTTGGGTTGCCTGATGCCTCCTCAGAAGTTGAAACCTGGGCGGTACTGGTATGACAAAGATTCTGGGCTTTGGGGGAAGGTGAAATCAGAGAATATTGTTTGGTCTATGGATTGTTTTTTCGAAATTTGTATTCACTTATTTATTTTATTTTATTTTATTTTTTTATTTGTTTACATATTTAAGAATGGAATTTCAGGAGGGAGAGAAGCCTGACAGGATTATAACTTCCAAATTGAATGTTGGGGGTAAACTTCGGCCGGATGCGAGCAACGGCAATACAAAAGTTTATATGAATGGTCGCGAAATCACGAGAATTGAGTTCAGGGTATTGAAGGTAAGTGATCTCTTTTATGCACAAATCTTTAATACTTACATCAATCATCTCTCCACCCAAGGAACACTGTGACACACATTCAATGCACGTGAATTGTGAATGGTGAACATAACTATGTGTTTCTTCTGTAGCAGCACTAGACTTAATTTGTGATATGTTGCATTTACCCTAAGTGTCAATTAGCTGCAAATGTCTTTCAAGATCAGGAGCTAGCATTCTCAAATATAGAAATTATGCCATGATTACCAGTTACATCTCCACTGTGGATAAGTAGTCATCCTCTATTAGTCTCTAGAACCTCTTGCAGGCAATGTTTGGAAAATCAATGCTGTAGAACTGATTATACAGTAATTTTTACTTTCTAACTAATTGTCATCTATTGATTGAGATTCAAAACTTCTTAATTCCTTTTCTCAATGCCACAGTGCCACTACTTGATTATTTATAGGAGGTGGGATTCTTAGATTGTGAGCGGAGGTTTGACGAGAAGCATAGTGATAGCCAAGGACTGTGATGAGGCATTAGGATGGAGAGAAGATCTGATTAATTATTGGCTTCTAAATATGAGAGTGCCCTATAGATTGAGGTTGGTGGAAAGTCAATTCAAGACACTAAACATGCCTTATGAGTATGATACCTAGAAATGAGGCTTTGTTAAATTCAATTTTTACTAGAAAATGCTAATAACATGGTACAATTTCGTTTCAAAACAATAAATTTAGTAATGCAAAGTGATCCAATTTTTTCCCTATTTATTGCCATGACAGTTTCTTTAGGAAATGAAACAAGTATAATGAAATAAATCTAGAGAGAGGAGAGTTTTGGCATAACAAAATGTAATAAAAGAGGCCATAATACGCCGGATATGTCTTTTTACATGATTAGTTTGAAGAATAATAGACTATATTATATTAGATGTCTAATTTTTAACAAAAAAAAAAATACTCACATTTAGTAGGGCCTTAATAAATTTTATTAATGTTATCCTACACCTATCTCACCACATTTTAGAGCACATGGCAGACCATGTCTGTATTCTCGATGCTTGAACCAGAATGATCCACTTTCCAGGTTACTTTGGTTGAATTGAAGCAAATTAGGTGTGGATGAAATTGTTGGGCTTCCTTTGATGGGTTCAGAGAAACAACCTTTCTCCCAATGCCGAAGCAGTAACAGTTGCAAGAGGACCAGGAGCTTGGTAGGAAGAAGAAATTGGTAGAATAGTTTGGGTTCTGGGAGGGTAGAGAGGTAGTGAAAGGTGTTTGGTGTTATTTTTTAAAACCATTTTATGTTCCAAAAAAGAGAGAAGACGAAAACAACATAAAATGTGTTTGGTGGAACTGTTTTCAAGAAAATTTCCTGAACATGTTTCATTTTTAGTAATTTATCTTGGATAGTTTTCAGAATCTTGTATTCATAAGAAAATAGAATTGATTTGAAAATTATTGTGTTCTCAAAACTTTTCATTTGCGAAAAGTTGAAAAATGAAAACCAAGAACAATCATGAAATGATGAACATGAACCAAACATACATTTCAAAATTAAACTTGTTTTTAGGGTTTGGTTTGAATTGTGCATAGCTGTGTGGGTAGTACCTGCACATCCCCCTTTTTGGGTTCAGTATGCTTATAGACCTTTGGTATTTCAGTACTTTATGCTGATAGAGCTATGGATGCTATCTTCCATCACCATTGTATATCAGTTTTAACATACATCCTGTTTCTAGTGCATTTTGCTTGTGTAGTTCTATAAACTCTTTGCATAGTGAGCTTATAGTTTTTGTGTTTTGACGTTAAGTTGTCTTGTCAAAGTAACAAAATCTTCTATATGCTGCATCATTTGCTAATTCTGTATCTATGATGGTTATGTAATTATTCATTTATTCTGGCTGATTTTATTGTTTTTCTAACCTCATATATGTTTTCTTTCAAAATGCTATCTGTTGAGCCCTCTAACTTGTTTTCCTCATTTGGGTGGCTAATCTATTTATTGTATTTAATTTTCCTTTATGCTTTGGTTGCTTTCCATTTGAGTGCTTAACAATGTGTTCTCTCGTTGATTTTCATTTCAGCTGGCCAACGTTCAGTGTCCGCGAGATACTCATTTTTGGGTGTACGATGATGGGTCATATGAGGAAGAGGGTCAAAACAATATAAAAGGGAACATATGGGGAAAGGTTCTCTCGTAATCTGTGGCAAACAAATTTTGTTATCAGTATCAAGTTTGACCTTCACCAAACGATTGTTAATTGATATTTAAACAGTTACTGTTTGGTTTTTGCTAGGCAGGCATCCATTCGTTTCATTTGTTCGTTAGTATCATTGCCTGTGCCTCCTCTAAATCCTTATGTCCCAAAAGAAGATCCAACGACATATTCAGGTAGATCTGTGCCTGAGTATTTAGAGCATGGAAGAGTTCAGAAACTTCTGCTGTTTGGGTTAGAGGGGTCTGGGACAAGCACTATCTTCAAGCAGGTTGATTTCATTTATTCTGTTTTGGTTTGCTTTTTGTATTATATTCAGTTCTATGGTCACGTGGAATCTTGTCGATCACCTATAAATTTTCCATGAATCTGGGTCTTTGTGCCTGAGCTACATTTTCAAAATCTTCAAAATTTTGGCCAAATTAGGATGACATAGATTGAATGTTACAGTATTGTAGCCAAATTCAACATTTCAACTGAATTCCCAGATAATCTGCTGAAGTTTAGTCTGAAGTTGCCATTTGGAGTATGGTGAGCCTGTATCTTAGGTAGCGTATGGTAGAGTTTTAGAATTATGATTTGAAAATAGAGTTGTATTTTGAGTTTGTGAATTTTGGAATAATTATTTGAGTGTGGAAAATTTGTTTGGTTATAAGTTTTGAAAAGAGTTTGAAATTTTTGATGTGACATGATATTTGATTAAAAAACTTACAACTAATAATCAAACACACAACCCAAAATTCTATTCAAAACTCATAAAAAAATTTAAAAAAATTCCGAAAATATTCTTTATTTAAAATATAAAAATAACAGGTGCCAAAAAAAAAAAAAACACTAACACTGTTCCGGTCAATTGGCCGGACGTCTAGGAGGATGACCGGGTAGACGTGTTTTCAAAATGGGTGTGGAATCAATTTTTGAAAACTCTAACCAAATACCACACTAAAATCAAGAGGTGGAATCAACTTTCAAAAGCTACACCATACAGAGCCTTTAGTTTTTCCCATCTGAATTTTCTCCTTTTCATTTTTATTAAAATCCATTGCAAATTCAAATTTCACCCAAATTTGTGCAAAGGTTCACTAAAATTCAAGGCTGTTGCAATGAGTTTGTTACCTTTGAAATTGTTTCTGCTTTATCCAATTATTCAGTGTAGATACCCAGTTATTTGGTACCTACTTGTTGCAGGAAGTAATGATTACTCTCTGTTTCCATAATATACCATAAATTTGTGCTGTGTTCTTTACTAGTTAACTCATAAGATTTTGCTACATGGATTAAAAATTAAAATATACCTGCTGTAGTTAGGTTCCTTTGATTTCCCAAAAAATGTTCTTCTGTTTCTTTTATGTATGAATGAAATATGTACTTATATAGCATTTCCTTTTCAGAAGTATCTTCATGTTTCTTAATGAATATCACATTTCCTTAAAATAAATGAAATGTTTTTGCTTCTTTCATGAAACAGGCCAAATTTTTATATGGAAACAAGTTCACTCCTGAAGAGTTGGAGAACATTAAGCTAATGATTCAAAGTAACATGTACAAATATCTCAGTGTCTTACTTGAGGCACGAGAGCGTTTTGAAGAGGAGGCTTTGATGGAAAAAGAGACTCTTGCTTTGGATGATGAAGAGTCTACTCCAGGTCTCCTCTTTTATGCTGAAAATGTTGCTTATTGTTTTAGTGAAGGCCTGATTTTTGTATTTCCATCTTTTTGTTGTGGCCTTGTGCTTTTTTCATGTGCTATAAAATCAGTGGTCCTTCTATGAACTTTCAATTACCCTTGGAGATTGCAGTTTGATTCTTTATATCCTTGGTGAAAGTTCAAAGCAACACGAGATGAAGATGGGAAAGATAGAAGAGGTGGCCTTTTAATTGTTTAGGGCACTTTTTGGTAAAATCCTTCTACATCTTCCTAGAGGACTTTGTAGAGACATTTTGTCAGTTTGTGAAGCCATTTGGTTATTCTGGTACTTCTTGATAATTTTGTTCCTAAAACTGCATCCACATCAATACATTCTGTAACTCCAACTTTGAGTTAGCTAGTTTGTCCATCCTTTGTCCTTTCTTCCATGACATTTGGGGTGAATATTTATAATATGGTCATTTGGTGGGTGTCCCTTTTTCTTTGAGTAAGTTGTTTAGTTTGAGATGGAAGGTCGACATTGTAGGTTGGGATAATAACTATCTTAAATTTTGTAGGGACATTTGGGTAGAGTGAAATAGGATTATTTCAGGCAAGGGTAGAGTGAAATAGTTACCTTCCATACCAGACACATGTAGAACGATGTTTTTACAATATCTACTTTTTTATTTATTTTTGAATTTGTAGTTGATTAGGAACATTGTAATTTAGTATGGATTAGCCTAGAATGTTTAGGTTTCCTAGCTTGTCTTGATTTTAGTTTATTATTTTTTATAGAGCTACTTATTCTACTATTATAAATACATGTGTAAGCCTACAGGCATAAGTTAGTTATTCATTCAACCTAATATTTTTAGAGAGTTTCTTTTATTTTCTTGTGGATTCAAGAAATCACATCTACTAGGACGATATCTAGTCTCTTTTTCCATTACCACCACGTCAATTGGTAATCAGAGGGAGGTCTCCCTTGACTCGATTTCAATGACCGCTGGTGGTAATCAAGGTCGACCAAACCTCACGGACCAACCTGAAGGGCAATTCATAACTATGGATGCGTTTGAGCAAAACTTTTCTTCTCATCGAGATTTTAGGTATTATGAAAATTTACCTAAATTTAGTGGTTGTGAATAGTTTAAAGATAATCTAGATTGGATATTAGACATAGAAGCTTTTTTTAAAGATGAAAATTTCAAACTAAGAGGAGTCGAGGTATGTGTTATTAGAACTTACAGGTTCAGCACTTTGGTGGTGGTTAGATTTGCAATCATTAAGAGAGGAACAAAGCATTCATGGTCAAGAATGAGAAGACACATAATGGAGAAATTTTTGCCATGGAATTATGAGCAATTATTAGCAAAAAGTTCAGGCCAAAACACGAAAACATGAATATTCATGCCAAAGAAATCCCCCAAGAGCTTAGGTTTGAAGAGAAATCTACATTGCCTCACAACAACCAAGAATTAAATGAAGAAAAAATTCTCAAAAGTATACCACAAAGAAATTCATGAAAAACAATAAATTATTGCTGAGGTTGCAAATCTTGTTATGGAAACTGAAGATTCGTCAAAGAAAGAAATTGTCAAATTGCAAGATGAGATCAAATTATATAGTCCAAAACAAATCATTCACCAACTGATGGCTTAATTAAGGAGGTGAATCGGAGGGCTACCATAGCACAGAAGTTTGTTCTTGTATTCATGGGCAGTGCATTTAAAAACAAAACCACTTCTTGACAGTGCTCTTAGAGTTTATGCCCTTGACCGAACTAATGAAGAGAATGGTTTTAAATAAGTTGCCAAAATTGCTTAAGCAAGTTATCTAAGGTTACAAAGAATGCTTCTTTCCTATATGAACTACAAGAGGATGTGCATTGGATGGGAGCCAAGTATCCTTTATGCAACATATGCATTCACCAATCATCCAAGAGTTGTTACACTATTTCAAAGTCAAGTATGGGAAAATATTAATCTTCAAGTACAAGATGGATGTAGACAAGCTCAAACATAGGAAGTTGTTTTGATCCATGGAAACTTAAGGGCGAGCTTTTTATTTTTATTTTTTTTACAGAGGTATGATGGTAGAACAAGATTTTTAGAATATCTAATATTTTCATTAATTTTGAATTAGTAGTTGATTAGGAATCTTGTAATTTAGTATGGAATAGCCTAAAATATTTATAGTCAATACAGGAAGGTGTTTTATGCCCAAAACTCGAACGTTTCCTAATGTATGAAGGTGTTTTATGCTATTGAGGGGCTAATGGCTTGATGGTTCGCTATGTTGATATGGGGGAAGCTAAGATAAAGTTGAAGTGCATGAATGGCCTTGTGGGGCAAGTGATGCTGACCTGTATAGAAGAGTGCAAAGACAAGGTTACTATTGGCCTGATTTGGCCAAAGACGATGTGACAAATGCTCAGAGTTTCCTACCCCAGACAAATGTCATTTTGTTGACATACCAAGCAACTGGAGGCAACCTATATTGATTAATTAAAATAAGGCTCAACTCCCAAAAGCCTTGGCTACATTGCAGACACATCAATGAAGGCTCACTCGAGCATGTAATGCACGTTCCAAGAAGCGATCTTGTACTAAAGGTGTCACCCCATGTAGTGAGGGGTTCAAGCGTGACTAGATTTGCACCTAAATATTTGTGGTTAAAGTGGTGAACAGGATTGGATATTGCTGTCTGGCAAGGATAAATGTTGATATTCCATTGCCTACTCCAGGCAGCATAAAATGGTAAATCACAACTTTATTCAAAAGTTGGAAGGACGAATCACCATTGTACGAGTTGATCAATGATTAATGAAATATTGAAGTTTATTCATTCAAGCTATCATGTTTTGCAATAATATTTGTATGTTTGAATGCCAAATTAACGTGATAACAATACTTGTATGATTAAACACGTCGCCAATGAAACAATAATGTTTGCATGTTATACACCATTTATTGAAACAATATTTGCATAGTCATCCAAGTTATCTGTTTTGCAACAATATTTGCATGTTTGAACGCCACATTAATGAAAAAAATTCTATACTTATTAATGAAAAGTTGTAAAATAATCTTTGCAATGCTTGCTTATGTGGAGAAACTTTCCAATTTAAAAGAGTCCTACTTGACATAGGGAAGGAAAATCAATCTGAACACCAATTGAGATTCTACTACTTCAAATATGTAAAGGTCTTGAGAAAAACCCATAACCAACAACTTACCCCTGGGATACCTAACAAAGATAAAATTATTATAGAAATTCTGGTTTTTTCCTAGTCAGATGGTGTATTAAAGCCATGTGGGCATGGGTCACAATTTCATTTTGGCAGGTTGTTCTAGTTAGCTAGGAAACATAAATATTTTGAACACGTTCCTGAAACATGATGGAAGCTGCAAAATTTTTGGAAATGAATGAATAATATTTCAAATAAAATCTAAAACTTATTTATCAATATCTATAAACCAAACCAATCCTTAAGTTCCATCAAATGGGGTTGGCCTTAAGTCCCTTCAAATGAGGTTGGCCATCAATATCTATATGTCCATTAATTGATTAATTGAACATGTTTGAGGTCTATGCATCCATTCACATGAAGGGCACAATTGTACAATTTGGAAGTTAATGTCAATATAAAACGAAGTCAACCAACTCAAAAGTGGTGCATAAGGTTCCAATAAAGCATGGTTTAAAATTTATCAAAAGTAAATTTGAAAACAATTATAAATAATAAAGGTAAAGAATCTTGAGGCGTGGGGAAGAATTTTAGTATGTGAAGGTTCCTTTGAATATAGAATATAAGTTAAGAACAAGGTTAAACAAAGGTTAAAAAAAAAAAGAAAAAGAAAAAAAAAGTAAATTACTATAGAAAGAAAAAAATACGATATTTATAAAGAAAAAATCTAAAGAACTTTTTTTTTATTTTTTTATTTGTGTTTTTGTTACCATTTTAAGAAAGCACGAGAGTCTATATTCTAGGAGCAATAGGAATGAAGAAGAAAAAGATGTTACTCGTGATAACGGAGAAATCCCAGTCTTAGCTTCCATTTTTGTATAAGTGGTTCATCTTTGTCACCTCTTATCCTCGTCATTTTCTACTCACTTTTGAGTGATTCAAATTTGAGGTGTTTTCTTTGTTTCCAATCTCTATACTTTGTTTTTCAAAAAAGGAGAATACTAAATGGTGTTGAAACAACTCATTGTTTTGTTATGTTTGATGTGCTTATGTGTGATATGATAAATTTGGTGAGAATCTTGTGATTTTGAATTTTCACTAGTGTTTTTTATTAGTATCCCAATCAAGGAAAACATTATATTTAGGCTGATTTGGTGGAAATGAGATGACATTTTGTTTCTTGCATGTGAGTTCAACCAACCCAATCAATCACGTGACATCGATTATGGAAGCCATTGGCTCTTTGGTAGGGCCTTGATGGATTCTTTTCTTTTTGGAAACATACACATTAAGGGGCTGATCCCCGTGAAACAGACATTGTGGGCAGAGTTTCCCATTCTACTAAATGAACGTGCAAACCCCACACACACGTGCGTATGTAGCATGAATCATTACTGTCTCAATATTATACTTAAAAGCGTTCACTTCCATTTAAGTAGGGCTGCAAACGAGCCGAGCTTTAGTGTGTTTGGGCTTGTTTATTAAGATTTTAACGAGCTCGAGCTCGAGCTCGAGCTGAATAGAAATTTAACGAACCGAGCTCGAGCCGAGTTGGCTTAGGCTCGACTCGACTCGAGCTCGAGCTTGTTCACGAACCTTAACGAGCCAAAAAATTTATAAATTCATACTTGCATGTGAGACTAAAGTTATAATTAAAACTTTGATTATACAATTATATATACAATATATATAAACATACTAAAAAAAAGTCCATATTTTACTACAATAATAATATCTACTACCACTATTATATAAATATACTATCTATAGTTAAGTATTATTTACATTTATATTTTTTAAATATATAAATAGCATATTTCTCTTATTTTTTTACATAATTTTATATTATTTAATATATAAATAATAAATATTAAACGAGCCAGCTAAGGAGCCGAGCTTACGAGTCGAGCTTTAGACTGTTTGGGCTTGTTTATTAAAAATTTAACGAGCTCGAGCTCGAGCTCGAACGGCAAAAAAAATTAACGAACCGAGTTTGAACGAGCTCTTACCGAGCCGAACTCGAGCTTGTTCATGAACGGCTCTGTTCATTTGCAGCCCTACCTTTAAGATCGTAATAGAAACAACATAAATACTTTTTATCATAATACAAGAAGGGACATGTAAGAGTGCTTAACAGTAAGCAGTTTCTCAGTTTTTTTTTTGCCTTCTTTTTGTTGGTTTGTCCTTGTTGAAGATCTTCACAAATTCAATGGTGTGTGCACCCGTTTTGCGCCTTATGAATATATTTTATATAATATAATTATCAATTCTACATTGACATATGCACACAAAAGAATTGGATTCACATTCACACACCATTTGGACTATATCATCTATGCATGCCAGGAAATAATGACTGAAGAAGCCAATCTGATTACCACATAGTATTTTATGCCACAGATGTGGATATTAGATCCTTCCTTGTTCTTCTCTAAATGTTAATTACTAATTTCTTGGCAGTTAGTGTTGCATATATAAAATTTTTCTTTCCAATCTATAATGTTTGCCCCTTTGTCATTCTTTTAAGTTAAAGATTTTGACTTGGTGATTGAAATATGGATGACTTCATACTTTCATGGTTAATATGTGGCTAGATGTATATATGTATGCAAATATTATTTCGTAGGCTGCTGAGCTCATATAATGGTTTCTGTCAAATGAATTCAGGTGAAACAGGATCCAATGGAAGTAAACTCTGTGTTTATTCCATCCACCAAAGGTTCAAACATTTTTCTGATTGGTTACTGGAAATCATGGCTATGGGAGACTTGGATGCTTTCTTTCCTGCTGCAACACGTGAATATGCTCCTATTGTAGATGAGATTTGGAAGGATCCTGCCATCCAGGAAACCTACAAGAGAAGGAAAGAAATTCATTTGCTTCCAGATGTTGCCAAATATTTCTTAGATCGGGTATGGTGTGTCTGCATCATCTTTTACTCTATCTCGTGATGATGACATATTTATTGCTTAGCTGTAAATTGTTCTTGCCACTTGTATATTTTTTTTTATTATCACTTGTTTTTATTTTCCCCCCTTATTTCATCTTTGTTCTTAAGTCTGGAGTGAAGTTGAAGTTAATGTTTACTAGCAGCATCTTCAGGTTCCTGGTTTGTTGAATCAGTTTGTGAAAGGTTTGTCAGTTTACATATAATAATTTTCTCGTTAGCTTTTATAAGTTCGCTTGCTTTTATAAGCTCACACGTATTAGGATTTGGCTCATAATCATTTTACATGCACGAGAGATAAGTTTAGCCTATCTTAGTTCAACCATGTGATAAACTTTTTTGAGTACACATGTCATAGTCTAATGCATGGAAGAAAAAAGAACCGAAGGACAAATGTCCAGCTCATGACAGATGGGCTTCAAAGCTGATGGACAATACTTAAAAACAGATGGGCCATTTCTGTATTTTATAGTAGTGTATTTATTTCATGTAAATAGTCAAACTGTGAATGTGTGGTGTAGTAAATAGCCATACTATGTTAAGATTCCAAAAAATAGAAAAAGATACTGGCAGGTCAAAAGCAGCTCACATATCCTTGAGCATAGACATGTTCTTGACTTGTTCGTCACTTGAGCTTTCTTTTAAATCCCATACTTGGTTCTTGTAATAAATGAACAAGGTAGAGTGAGCCCTACAGTGTGCAAGCCTGAATTGCTCACAGTGTTGCAGCCCTTAATGCTCTTGATGTTTTAATATATAACCCATTGTGGAATTTGAGTAAAATGATGGGAATAATAGGCAGCAGATATTGATATTTAAATGCATTTGTGCTTGATAATTAAAAAGGAGTGTAATTTTTGAGTTTGAATGAAAATGAAAACTAGTTGAAACTTGATGGTCAAGAGATATTCAAGAGCGATTACTTTTGATATCTTGGTTTGAATTTTCACAACGAAGACTGGGGAGGATGTCTTTCATAGGCTTAGAATAATATGGATGGAAAAATGTTTAGAGACATATTTTGTGATTATAAAATTCTTGTGAAGTTGCTGAGAAGTTCTATAAGACGAGTAGAAGGCTCGGTTTGTCCAATGTTACAGAATGATGGGAAATAAGGATAACAATATATCAAAAAATGGATGCAACCTGAAATGAGGATGTTTCAATGAATAAATGGTGTTATAGGAAAAGATAGAGTAAGAAACAAATGCACTAATAGGAAGTTACAAGTGGCACAGATTGATGATAAAATGATGGAAAGTCATTTGAGAATGTTTGGTTATGTGCAACCTTCAACAATTAGTTCCTTAGGAATAGTGATTTGATCTAAGTTGCGGGCACGGAAAGACAAGAGGAAGGGCAAGAAGGACATGGTTGTTGAGGCAGTCAAAAGGGATGTCATTGCCTTGGATTTAACTAAGGATATGTGACCTCCAGAGGGTGGTAGCCTGGTGGTTGGGGACTTTCTCCCATGTGATGGGTTCAGTTGTCTGGGGCGATGCTCATGGTGAGACTTGTGCCCATTAATCCTAGGCCACTGGCTCCTTTCCACTATGCCCTTGGTGGGGTTGGGGTTATGCTATGGCTCAAGCTATCATGAGAGAGCGCCTGTGGATCCTGTGCGCAATACCCTCATGTTACCAGGCCCATCTAGGCCCTTCCTGTCCAGCACCCCAGCAGGTTTCTACATGATGGTTGCCTTGTCCTGCCTTTTTTCCACAAAAAAAAAATTGTGGATATGCATTTAAATAGAGCCAACCCGACAAATTATGTGCATTCTGATAAAAGACCTGTTGAATTGAGAATAATATCTGTGCTCCATGCAAGCTTCATTAAATTTTGCAAATCATGTTAGCTCTATTTCTTATTTATGGCATACTCATGTGGTATGAAAAGCAACTTATCTTGCCAAAGATTGTTTGATAGGTGAAGTATGTGTAGTTTCTCTCTAAGTGCAGAAGAATTATTAATCTGAAATTTAGATAGTTGTATTAACGATAGTGACATGCAATCTCCAATAGGCTATTGAAATATCCAGCAATGACTATGAACCTTCAGAGAAAGACATTTTATATGTGGAAGGAGTTACTCCTAGCAATGGTCTTGCCTTCCTTGAATTCTCATTTGATGATCACAGCCCTATGTCTGAGATGTACAATGAAAACTATGAATGCCAGCCTCCTTTAGCCAAGTAATATTCTCCGTTGCAACTATGTATCTTCTGATTTGTTTCCCTCATTTTTTTTTTCTTTCCTTGTTGCTGCTAATTAAACAATGCTCTCTCTCTCTCTCTCTCTCTCTCTCTCTCAGGTACCAGTTGATTCGTATCAATTCCAAGGGACTGCATGATGGCTGCAAATGGCTGGAAATGTTTGAAGATGTTAGGGCTGTAATATTTTGTATTGCTTTGAGTGACTATGATCAGGTATGGCTCCACACTACTGGTGATATTCAAAACAAAATGCTGGCAAACAGAGATTTGTTTGAGAGCTTGGTGGGGAACCCTTGTTTTAGGGACACCCCATTTGTACTACTCCTAAACAAATACGACGCATTTGAGGACAAAATCAACCAGGTTCCAATCACCATTTGTGATTGGTTCAAGGACTTCAGCCCTGTGAAGCCACATCACAACAATCAGTCACTGGCAAACCAAGCTTATTATTATGTGGCTGTTAAATTCAAAGAGCTTTATTTTTCAATGAGCGGGAGGAAGCTGTTTGTGTGGCAGACTCGATCTCATGAGCGTCCATCAGTTGACGAGGCATTTAAGTACATAAGGGAAGTTCTCAAGTGGGATGAAGAGAAGGATGAAAACATGTATGGAATCGCCGGGGATGATTCCTTCTACAGTACAGAATTGAGTTCATCTCCTTACATCAGGCAGGAATAGAATTCTTGTTATTGTTATTATTCTTTCGGTTTAGCCCCCCTTGCAGAGAGCTTTCAATGTTTCAAGGACTATCGGTGAAGAATTTCGTGCATTGGAGGTTTGATTTGGATCAGCAGGGTGAAGTTAAGATCATCTTCAATGGAGAGAATTGTGTTCTATTTTCTGGGTTGATTTATTCTCTTGTATTCTCGTGATCGATCGATCACATTACTGACAAAAAGAAGAGTGCCCCCCACCCCCTTTTTTTTATGGTTGGTATTAGTTTGCTTTTATGTTTCTGTAAATGGTGAGAAAAATTCTTCTAACAATTATTTATTTTTGGTGGTTTTGCTAAGTAATATGTGTTGCTAAGTAATATATATATGGTTCTAAAAAAAGAGTAATATATATTTTTTAATGACTAATAACTTGGCCTAGGCAAGATGCTTTGGATTTGTCGTGTAAACTTGGGGTTGAGATCTTTTGGACTCGTAGGGTCAACTTAGGGTTCAAAGGCCACCCTCTGAACCCATGAATTGGACGAGAGGTGCACTTCAAAACTTCTGATTTTTAATCGAAGTGACTGATCTTTAGCAATTAGAACTTCAAACCTCACGATTTTTAATCAAAGCGACAGATCTTTAGCGATTAGAACTTCAAACCTTTTGATTTTTAATCAAAGCGACCGATCTTTAGCAATTAGAAAGGGCCAAAGGCACCAACATCTAGAGGGTTTGACAGATGAGGCCGCAAATCAATGGTTGCTAGTGGAGGTGGATTTTCAAAACACAACAGTGGTCAATCCGCGATGTTGCAAATCAACTGTTGCTGTTGGAGGTGGATTTTCAAAACACAACAGTAGTCAATCCAGAGGTGGATCTTCAAAACTCATGGTCAACAATGGTCGAAGCTCATCCACGATGATCTCATACAAAAAACCATTATTAAGAGCATGAGACACTCTCTTGTTGCACTTTTTAGGTTGATAAACGTTTCCTCCCTCTTTTCCTCACAGATCAATATAAGAATCAAGGGAAATGAGGTTCTAAAAGAACCATCATGTCTCCTCGTAGATTTCCCTCCTAGCTTTTCCCCTCTATTTTCCATTACAACCAAACAAAGAAAGTAATCCAGGGAAAAAAAATATTCCCTCCAAACATTTTCAAAAGCATGACATTATACAAAGGAAAAATAAATCCAGAATGTCAACGAAGACTAAAATTTGATCTTGAAAGGTACAAACAATTTTCTACATTGCCGTATACATGACATTGTCAATAGAAGGATATGCTATACAAGAGCTTCCTCCGATGCTGCCTCTCAAAGTTAACCACGATCTCATCAATTGAATCTTCCCAAAATTCAGTTGTTTCGAGCTGCTCATAGAAATCATTCACAAAAAGTCATTGATCAAATAAATTTACAGAATCTACATTTGTACAATATAGCACGCACCTCTTGGCACAAAACAAGAGCAAGTCGAGCTCCTATGGCCGCTTCCTCATGGTTATCTTTCACTTCCAAGTTTATCACCAGCACCGGTTTCATTAGAACATGATCCCTACTGTGGAGATCTGCACCATGTTGCATGATTGTTATGAATGGACACAGTGGCATAACCAGGAATTTAATTTAGCGAGGTCATCAACAAGTATCATCAATGTCAATATGTCTGCTTTAGATTCTACACAACCTACCAAAATCAGCTTTCACATTATAAACTGTAATTTTATACATTTTCAATCACATTGACAAAAATAAACTCAATTTTGTAAAATTACATATAAAACAAAACTGGGATTTATTTATTTATTTATTTTTGTAAACTGGAAATGAAAACTTGTCAAAGAGCCACTTAATTCTGTTGTAACTAACATTAGTTAGTCACATTACGGAGCTCAAAACATTGAAGCAAACAGGAACGAGCCACTTGAGAGAGAGAGGAGAAACCTTTGATTGGTAAGCTACCTTTCCACAAATTACAATTTTGGGTATATGCACTCTGTTATGTAATGATTGGACAGCAATCAAAAAATTGGAATCTAGTAATGGTGAAGACATTGTCTTTCTATGGAGAGGACTATGCAACAGTTGCCACAAATTTGGCTCTCTTGCAGTCCATGGAAAGATGTTCGAAGGTCTAGGATTGAAAACAGAACATTCTTTTAGTACTTGGTCAAAACATTGACACTGGCAAAATTCAAAATGTCTATCATGTCAAATAAGATGATTACTGGGATGTGACTTTTACATACTCTTCAATCCCAATCCTGAAGAGATACTTGCTAATCATTAAGAAAATTTAATTAGTACAAACGGGATAAGACTATGTACAAACCCACCCTAGACTATTGGAGCCTCATGCACTGGGTCGCCATTTTTTATTTAGATTATTGACAATAATTGAAGTCATAATAAAATGTACTGTTTTACCGTTTCAATTTGACAACGAGATATTAAGATCTACTATACAGTAATGCAGCATAATATTCAAATAAAATAAGTTTATGCAAGATGAGAAGAAATATTAATAAAAAGACGCACCGTAATAACCCAAATATGCCATTGTCTTCCATGAACATCAAAGAAAAAGCAAAGAACAAAAGTTCAGACCCTTTCATTAACACCTAAATGCACAACATTTATACATAAGGCTGTTCAATTTATCCCATAAATTATCCTTTCATTAGGGCTGTGAAACGAACCAAGCTACTTTGGTCAACTTGTGTTTGGCTCGTTAAAAGTTCAGTTGAGATAGACTTATTATGTAAACAAGCCAAGCTTGAATTTATTTTAAACTCAGTAAATTTTTAAGTTTGGCTTAACTCTGTATAAGTAAAACCAACCTACTTGAGCTCAGCTCTATTGATCGGCTCAAAAGATAAAACAAACCAAACTTAAACACTCGTTTACTTTACAAGCCAAGCATGAACAACTTGCTAGGCTCGTTTACAACCCTAGCATTACTAACCAGAGAGCTCTCATGCATCTCCCCCTCAGCTCGTTCTTCTTCCTTGTGAGCGTAATAATTCTTGAAAAATATTAAAAACAGAAACAAGAAGATCAATAATATAGGAATCCCAATCAAATCCCTTAGGCTTCACATCTTTTTGTTGAGGTTGCATCGACAATCCATTACAATACTCTAAGACCGGTGAAACGAAAGAGTACCATGGGAATACATGGCTGCTCCCCACTTCTTGACTCCTAACTTTTCGCCTGAATTCGGATTTCTAAGTCAGAAACTTCAAATTTCGGGCAGAAAAACCAGTCTAAACAATATTTAAAGCCAAATAAAGCCCTAATAATACCATCTAAAGAAGCTAGTATCACTTTAAAACTCATTGGCAAGTCAACATCCAAGCCCAAAAAAACACAAAATATATAAAACACCCTATACTCAAAAAAACATAATGACAACATTAATAAACTATTAATTGTGAATAGTGGAGATGGAAAAGTTTGCACATAGAAATGGATGAATAGGTGAAACTCCTAATTATGGTTATCAAAATGCTACACACTCGGTTAAATGAAATAAATTCATATAATTTTTTACTATCACATCTCATGTCAATTTAGGTCTTTGCCTCCCCCTAATGTTTCCATTTATGGTGATATCACTCTTCCTTGCCGTAGTATCCACAGGTGTTTGTTGTACATGACCAAACCATCTTAGCATGTTCTCTCTCAATTTATCTTCAATTGATGCAAGCCTACCATTTCACAAATATATTCATTAATAATTCTATATTTCCTAGTCTTATCACAAATCCATTTAATTCTCATTTTAGCTACACTTAATTATGAACATGTTGTTTCATAGTTATCCAACATTCTATCCTATAAAACATTGTTGGCCTCATAGTTATTCTATAATTTTTTTTCATTCAATTTTGTTAGTATCCGTTGATCACATAATATGCCAGAAACACTCGTCAAGTGAAACCAGCCTACTTTGATTTTATGGATCATATTATCTCCAACATCACCATTCTTATTAATAATCAAACTAAGGTAATGAAAATATTCATTATTTGTTATCTCCTAGTTTCCAATCTTTACTTCTCAATTATTTATACTTCTATTGTCCCTAAAGTCACATTCCATATATTTACTTTAATTTCTATTAATTTTAAACCTTGTTAACTCGAATGTTTCTCTCCAAATTTATAATTTTGTGTTAATTCTTTCCTTATTTTTCATCCACTATACCAATATTATCAGCGAACAACATATACCGTGGGACACTAGAAAGCACGGATACGGATACGAAGTACGGATACGATACGATACGATACGGATACGGTGATACAGCAAAACCTAAAAAAGTAGGATACGGGTACGGTTAGGATACGCTTGTAAAAAGTAAAAAATAAATAAATTATTAGTAGTGAGTTACACATAAACTTAAGAATGTTGATAAACCACAATAACTTTATAATGCAAAATACTAATCTTTAAGAATTAAGTATTAATTTAAGGCAGTAACTAATTTAGTTTTTCAATTTTCAATAGGTTTTGCAAATATTTTATTTCAATATCAAGTCTAATATGTTGATATTATAATATCAAAACAATCCACAACTTGACCCTATGCTTTTTTCCTTTTGCACTAGTCAAAAAGATTCTATGCAAGTTTATTTGCTTATTTATTTATTGATATTGTTATATTATCTTATTAATCCTTACTTCTATGTAGTTATAGGGGACATGCATTATACAATGAAGATATGTCAATTTGATGAACTCTATTACTTTAGCTTACTATGCTATTTTTATAAAAAAAACCAAGTAAAGTATTGTAAAAATATTCTATTTATTCTTGCAATTATATTATATTATGATGTTATGTAAGAAATGATACAATTATAATTTATATGTGACTTGGAGCATTTGATACTTCAAAATTAATTAAGAAGTATCTGATAATATGTAACTTGGAGCATCCGATACTTCAAAATTAATGAAAAAATAATTAAGAAGTATCCGATACTTTTAATAAGTTCTGATACGTATCTGTAAGTATCCAAAGAGTATCAGTATCCGATACGGATACGATACGGATACGCCTTCCTATTTGAAGTATCCATGCTTCATAGGTGGGACATCATCTTGAAAATGTTAGTTAATTCATCAATTATTAAGAAAAAATAGGTTAGGACTCAAAACAAATCCTTGATGCAATCCTATAGTGATAGGAAATTCACTAGTTTGTTTTTTGCAAGTGATATAATTATAGCATGAATATACCATTTGGTCACATCCTTTTTTTACAACACCCATCATATTATATCTCTAAGTACCCTAATTTATCACCAAAAAAAAAAAAAAACTCTAAGTACCCTATCGTAGGCTTTTTCTATATTGATAACAACCATAGCTAGATCCCTCATTTTCTCTCTAGACTTTTCTATTGATCTTCTTAATAAATATATTGCTTCCATAGTTGATCTACTAGACATAAATCATGTCATTTCAAAAATTTCCCTGAATATGATACCCTCCTTACTTTAACTTCTACAATCCTTGACAACCTCACTTCGCCATCACAACTACATCTAAAATTTGGCAACCCTTAATAAATGGTCCCTGAGAAGAACTAAACTTCCCAACAGCAATCTGGCGTACAATACCCAACAAAATGAATAAGTAAATAACATTATTAAAAAAAGAAAGCGGCAATGATTTCATGTTATCCATAGTCCATAATCCATAATCATGCAATGCAAACAACAAAATAGGAACTGCAAACAAACCAACCTTCAATAACCATGTCAAAAACCTTTTCTTCAAATGTGAACACCACATCAAAGTAACCATCAGCAGCATTGTCTTGCCAACGCTGTGGTGCAAGTTTGACAGCTGAATTCCTCTTAAGCATTGGTAATATACCATTGCGCTTGTATCTGTAGTACACTGTTAAGGATTCACTTTGCTTTAAAAACTTACACATGCAATGGACAACGTGAAGTAATCACACACTTAAATCCATAAGTAGTTCTTATATTACAGGCACCAAAACTAAAGCATAAAACTACTATTTCAGAGTTCACTTAATTTAAAGGGATATAAACATAGTTCCAAAGATTAGACATTATTAAGTAACAATGTATCATCTCCTACCTGCTACAACTTGGAATTGTTATTAATTTTATTTGTAGTCCCAGGTAGTTTATATGAGTAAAGAGTATAAGAAAGAAACCAAAAGATTTCCTGAAACATCAAGAAGAACAGTTTGATTATCCCAAAAAATGAATTCTACAATTTTCTAATTAGCTTATTCACAAATTAGATATTTAGATTAGATGTTTTTAACTGTGAATGAAACAACTAAAATAACTACGAAGTTTACCTTTTTTCTTTCACAAGAATCTAAATTCCAGTCATTACATTTAGGGAAAATTTCATTTCAGTGTAGGGTTTTAAAAAAAATTATAGATAAGTGGTAAACTTTATACCAATTAATAATTAGATTCATAAGCTTTATCATGAATTTGTAATAATTTCCTGATAATACCACTGGTTGGTAATTTCCCCTTACTTTTAAAACGTAGGATTGTCTTGGGTAATGTGGATCTTCATAAGTACTGAAAACTAACCATTCATGTGATGTAAGGGAATTTTTGGTATATCACAAGTCTGTCAGTTGCCCTAATACTATGGTATAGTATTGTAATTGTTTTCAGATCATAGTGAAACCACAATGACCAATCCTATTTTGGGTGAACCGTGTAAATTTTTGTATACTTTTTTTATTCATGTTTGTGTTTTGTGTCAAACTGATCCTGGTTAGGTTCTTAACATGTCTAATCTAATATAAATTAAAAGAATTCAAAATGCTAAATAAAATCCTTAATTTGCTAAATTATAAATTCACAGAGATAACCCAAAATAAATAAATAAATAGTTTCCTTCTCAAAACCAAACAGGGCCCTAAGAAGGACCTGCAATTTTAGCAAATTGAAGCAGCATTAACGAAATATAATCAATAAATTTCAATCCCAAGAAAGCAGAAAGAAAGAAAGAAAGAAAGAAAGTAAGCATTTTCTCAGGAAGCAAACAGAAGGGGGGGATACAATTCGGGATCTTTGCGGCGGAGGTCGTCGAACATCTGCTTGTAAGGAGTACCGAAGTCGTAGACGTTGGGTTCTCTGAGGGAAGGTCCAGGTAGCTTAACGTGCGATCCGGTTCCGTATGAGGAGACCTCAAAGCCTTCTCTCTTGAGGAGAGAGTGAGCCTCCATGCTTCGATTCTGATTCGATGAACAAACCATGGCGTATCGAAGCTTCATCATGCTTTCCTCTTCTCATCACACTCACAATTCTCTCTCTACTACTCAACTCTCAACTCAACCCAACCAAGGAAATAGGTTTCAAGGGGCCCATTTCAAGGGTTTTGAGTGTTTTTTTAGGCCCAGTTTGGTTGTCTAAAAATACCATTCACAATATGTGAGGGACATAATTATGTTTTTAGAATATAAAATAAATCAGTTATATTAGAGATTCTAAATAAATTATTAAATTTTTTATCAAATTTCTTATATAGTTGTGGGATCTACATGCATGTGATTTGTATAGGTCTCATACTCATGTGAGAGGTTTGATTGAAAATTTTGATAATTATTTAGAATCCCTAATATTTTCCAAAATAAATTATAGAGGTGAAACTCATAAAGAAGTTTGGCATTTGCATCATAGAATGCAATATGAGCATTTTGTTTAGAAAGTTGGGTAGACATGAATCCTTGGCCATCATGCAGTCTGCTAGGTAGCTCGAATCCATCAAGGCTCGAATGGCTCGAGCTATCAAAATGACGTTGTTTTGGTATCTTTTTTTTTTCCCCCTCTATCTTCCTAGATCTGTTCTTCCTTTGTTTTTTTTTTTTTTTTTTCCCTTTTCTTCTTCTATAACTCAGAATCAAAAAAAGAGATAGAAGAGAGGAAAAATTAAAAAAATCAAACAAGATCTGTGCTGGTTAGATCTGTGTATACACAGATTTGCTCCACCACCCCTATGTTTCTTCTTCTTCTTCTTTTGTATTTTCTGCTCCACCACCACAACACCCAAAATCAAAATTCACAAATCGAGAAACAGAGAGAGAGAAAGAGAGATACACAGAACAGAGAGAGATAAAGAGATATACATAGATCTATACAAATCTGTGTATACACACACAGATCTATCTGTGTAATACACACAGAGGATAGCGGCACCGGTGATGGCGGCACCAGTGGGTGGAGCTCTCTCTTTCTCTCTATGTTCCCCCTCATTCTCTCTTCTCTCTCTCTCTCTCTCTCTCTCTCTCTTCTTCACTTCTCTGTTTCAGAGATAAAAAAGAGAAAAAAAAAAATCCAAAACGACGTCGTTTTGGAATTCAGGCCACTCGAGCATCGAACTTTGCGAGCTCTGAAGCAATTTTCGCCATCATAATAGAACTTAGAGATGTGATCCTGTGTTGCATGAATGTGGCCTTTCCATGCCTTTGATAGCCCTCCACTTGTTAAATATTGGATTGGGCTGCATTCAATTTCAAACCACAATCAATTAAATTTTATTATTATATATGGCTTTCATTAATCTTCACAACATGAAAGTATTTATGTAAAGGATATGCTCTATTTATTATTTGTTATGTAATAAAAGTGATGCTTAAAATATCATTTTATGTTAAGTTTATGCGGAATGTTCAATCACATTAAATTTGATCTTATTTTTTTATATCATATAGACATCTAATCATATTTAAACACATATTTTTGGCAAGTATTTTAAATTTTAATACATGTAGGGCTTATTATTTTGTATCTAATAGGAAAACAATTAGATTGAAAATCCATTTATATGACAGCAATAATATATCTTTTAAGATATCTCAAACTCAAATCAATATTCCACATCAAAATTCCATGTATAAATATTTTACCTTTTCGCATAGTCAATGTGTTCCAAGCAGTGGTCACGTCCATTCATGTACATATCACTTTGGTCCTGTTTGGTAGGGCTTATTGTCACGACCCAAACCCGCCCCTATGGGTTTAGTACCGTAACCGGCCAGTAATCCGTGATTACCAAAGGCCTGCTTAACAGTAAAGACAGTAATACAGAGTACAGGGGCTGGCGGAAACCAAAACAGTAATAAAAGGTGTCCAATGAGCTGTGATATGTCTGTATGCAAAAAGAATTTTTCGAACATATTCGCATTCATAAGCAAAACATATATACATACAACATATACAGACATTCAGGTTAGGGACCAAATCCCTACCATGACAGTACAGTACAAGTCTCAACATTCTATACAAAACAGAAGCAGAAAGGGGGAATCTAAAACACCCCAAAGCAGCCTTAGCTTGAGCACACTTGGAAACTCGCAGTGAGGCACATTGGTTGGCTAGACAAAAAGGGAGTTTAACCCAACGCCCCTAGCTCTGATCCGGTGCCTGAATACCTACATATAAATATAAACAGTAAGCTAAAGCCCAGTGAATAACAAATGCGTAAAGGGGTTAAGAATGAATGTCCTTTCAGTCATTAAGCAGTCATATCAGTCATTTAGAAACCATAGCAGGTATATGTGGTATATCCAATAGCAAACACTACAGTAGGTCTTAACAGACCAAACAGTCAGTTGATGGCCATCATAACAGTAAACAGTAGTGGTTCCAAACATGGGAACCGACAGAGATCTCTGTGACAGTAGCAGTAACAGTACAGTAACAGTAAATTGCTATGGATACCACGAATACAATTTACAAATAGGACAAACATTCATTCATTAAACAATAACGTTTCAGTAAACAGAACAGTTGATCATTCGGAAAATATTTATAATTGAACATATCTTTACAACATTGTTACTCACAGAGCACTGGGCTACAGAGAGGCTAGTGAGCGTCCTTGGATGCCAACCCTACACAGTTACAGAATGAACACACACTAAGTTACACACTTGGGAATCAATGATTTAGTCCCTATCTTGACTCGGTGAGGTTCTACATCAATATCCTCATTAAGATGCCTTAAACATGGTCTAGGAATGCCTAGGATGGAATGAGGATGCAAAGATGCACTTTAAAACACTTTTCAAAATTTTCAAAAAACAGGGGTCTCGCTCGAGCGTGGCTTTCTACGCTCGAGCGGACATGCAGACAAAGGATCTCCGCTCGAGCGTGACTTCCTTCGCTCGAGCGGATTATAAACTCATAAAAAGTACTGGATGCATGCAATTCACACTCGATGGGCGCTCGACCTCCGCTCGAGCGTGAGACACAAGTCCTCGCTCGAGCGTGCATTCCCTCTCTCGAGCGGATTGTAAACATATGAAAAGTACTGGATACACGCATTTTACGCTCGAGCGTTACTTTCCCCGCTCGAGCGGGATGCATGTACTCAGAATGTACGCTCGAGCATGAAGTCTTACGCTCGAGTGTGGGTCCAAAATCTGGAATTTTCAGATTGAATCTCCAAGCTCAAATTTAACATTTAAAGCATCAAATCCGATCCTTTTGGGCTAATTTTCTGAAAAACACTTTAAAACCCATAATATGACATGTTTCAAAGATCAATTTGCAAAATCAAAGCCCAAAGATAGTTTAATTAAACACAAATCCAAACAAAACTTCATGAACATAATGTATATGTAACATGCAAGTGTTCAATTGAAATCAAAACTTCAAATACTTGATCAAATGAGTCAATCACTCAAAAACATGATGAATTCATGGACCATAGCTAGAATATAGACATGCATGTGAGGATTTCCATGAAATCAACCTCAAACTCAACAACGTGTACATGCATGCATGATTCAAGCTTCAATTCAACAATTTAAAACCAATTCTAGACTTAGATCACTAATGGTTCATGGACCATGCAAGATACAACTAGAATTCAAGTTCAAGAAGATGATTCTCCCACCTTAGGTCTTCAATTTCAAGAATGGAAGCTCAATTTGTTCAATTATCCTTCAAATCTTCTAATTCTCCAAGTAATTCTCTAGATGAAACAATTCTCTCTCAAGTCTCTCTCTCTCTCTCTCTCTCTCTCTCTCTCTCTCTTGACCTATGTTACATGGACTCGACAAATGTGTCCGACACTGATACGTGTCTAAGAGTTAGATTCTCCATTTTCTTTAATTTTAGGATATGGGGACACGAATAAAATGTTGGATACGGGTACGGGGATGCATTTATTTATATATATATATTTAAAAATATATGATGAGTTTTAAAGAATAATTACACAAGATTTAAAGAATAATTTCCACATAAGATTTAATAGGGCCCAAATTTTATTTTTTTATTGGGTTGAGATTTTTTTCTTAATGAGAACTCAACAGTAACCCTGTTTGGTAGGGCTTATTTCCAGCTTATTTAAGCTTTTAGCTTAATTTAAGTTATTTTGATGTGTTTGGTTCAGCTTAATAATACAGCTTATAGCTTTTTGTAAGTCAAAAATCAACTTATTCTTTGAGTGGGGGAGGAGAAGCTTAATTTATAAGTAAAAAATCAGCTTATGTTCACAGTTATAAGCTATAAGCTGTTAGCCTATAAGTTATAATCATTTTTTCACAGCTCTATCAAACGGGGCCTTTGTATTCCTGAAATTTAAGGTATATGTATCCATGAAATGGTGACATATAAAAAATTAAAAAAAATTACGTTTCGGTAACATCAATTCAAAATAATTGTATTTTTATAAAGGTACAAGTAAGTATAATTAAGAGTTGTGTCTATCGGGCACAAACTTATTTAAATCTCAATAAAAAGAGAGACTAGAGAAGTTATTGTGTACGAAGTGTCGAATGTTTGACTATATTAAATTTTTGTCTCACTTTTTATTACATGACAAATAACAAGTAGAAGGATATACCATGTTAACTAGGCCACATAGTATATCCGTTACACAAAATACTCTTTCTTATAAAAATTAAAATTGTTTTGAATTGTCTTATTAAAATACAAATTTTCTAAAAACCATCTCTCTATTTTTGTAGTTACCTCAAGAATTGGCAAAAGTTAATGTACAAGTTCGACGGTGTCACCCAATGCTTCTAATTGTGTGATGTCCAACTACAATCTTCCATTTCCTAGATGATTGCTTCATTTTCATTCGAAAACCCTATTTCCATTTCCAAAAATTAATAAAAAGAATTTGATCCATCTTTTACATCATCATGATTTTCGAAGTTTAAAAAATGAGTTATATATACCTTTAAAAGGTTTGAGATATATTTGTCTCTGAGCAAAACACCTCTCCAATCAGAAGTATGGTTCTTAGGGTTTTGAAAGTATTTATTTACAAATGGATTCGTATCGATAAAATAAGAATTCGCAACTTTTGGATCAAAATAAAAATAAAATAAAATAAAATTTAGAAGTC